TCTAACTCCTCGTACCAGAACTCATTGTCAGTTAGTCGTAAGCTTTTGATGATTAAACTCCTCAGTATTCTTTTCTTCAGTCTGCAGTTATGATGGGACTGAAAATTAAGGATTATTCCCGTATATGAATTCTTTCTGTATAGTCCCCTCATGAGTCTCTTCTTGGAGCGTATGACTTATATATCCTCCCCAACCTCTATTGTGAATTTAATTCTTTCGTCAAGTTGGTTTATAAAATTGAGGAATTCATTTAGATTTTCCTTACCATGTGACCAAAGTACAAAGTAGTCATCCAAGTATCGCATGAGCACTCTTGGTTGCAATGGTGACTTCAAGAATTCCATTTCCAAATAGTTCATGTATACATTTGCCAAGAGAGGTGAGAGTGGTGATTCCATCGGTAGTCCAAATATTTGCTCATAGATAATGCCGTTAAATCTGAAATATGTTGTCAACTGTCTGGTTGATTAGTCGTGTTAACGACTCCTTCCGTATCCGTTCTGCCTCCAGAATGTTCTCTCCTTGCTTCAATATCTCCATTAAGGCGCTTATCGCCTTCTCACCTGAAATGTTTGTGTACATGGATTGTACATCGAAACTCACCAACAGATCTGACCCCACTAACACAATGTTCTGGATCCTTTGAGAAAATTGATAAGAATTCTTGACGGTATTCAAGAGTCTGTCATTTAGTTTCCTGAGCTTCAAGCAAATTAATTTTGCTAGTTTATGCATTGCTCCATGCTTGTTGTTGACTCTTAATCTTAGAGGATTTCCTTCCTTGTGTATCTTCGGTAGTCCGTAGGCTGTTGGTGGTCTTGCGTCATTTTTTATTAAAGATTTCATCATCCATTCGTCAATTTCCCCATTTGTATCCCTTTCTTTGAGCATATTCTTTAGTTTCTCGTTGATATTCTTGGTTGCATCCTTCCTTAGTATTTGATAAGTTTTCCGATCGCCTAGGACACTTTTCATTTTTCTCCGTGTTATGTTTCCTGTCCATTACAACCATCGCTTCTCCCTTATCCGCCTATTGAACTATTTGATAAATCAAAACAAGCTGTACCACAACATTTGTTTCTTTGACGAGTTGTGTGGTGCTAAGAATGGCGATACTCACTGGCGATGCCGACTACGATTCCGGCGAAACGTTTGGGAATGTACTACATCTACAGTTTAACTTTGCAAATGATCATGCAGACAATGGACTCCGGACTAGTCTTCCTTTTAATATATCTATTTTGCGAAAACAAGGTCAAACAAACGCTATACAAGGCAAGGAGACTGCAACCACGCAAAAGGCCACACCAATTTGGTCCTCATACCTTAGTTTAAAAAATTAGATTACTCAAACTTTTCATTTATATTTATGCTCAGCCTACGATTATTCGAGTCTTAAATTGCATTAATACAAAATTATCGTTTAAACTTTAGCAAGTTTGGTGATACTCTTTACCATGCAAAATACTCATTTTTATAGTACTAAAGCCATCTAGATTATCTCTCCTATTCACCAGAATTTCCTACTGTATTCTACAAGGTCTTGATATTCGTTAATTTACGTGGTTAATATTATTTTTATTGTACTCATTTCAACATACATGCTCTTGTCTACGCGTGATTTTGGCAAAATATCGTCTTAGCACTTTATCTCCATAAAGTTTCAGATGCGCATCCCTTCGTATTGTTATATTCCCCTCCATACTAGCATTTGAAAAATTCCTTCAGACTTGTTTTAATGCCTTATATTTTCTATGATTGATTGGAAGGAATAAATCTTTCGATTTCTTTCTTATCAAACAAAATCGACGTAAATTCCGCAAATTGTCAATGAATTCGAGAATATCATACGATTTTGGCATTTTACTTTTGAGATTGCTCCCAGGAAAGTTATTTTGGTGGGCTTTGGCTCAGCAACAACAGTACATTGATGTAGGAGTAATTGCGCCTGACAATTGTCTGCAAATTTCGCACTAGTTATTGTCGTATTATTTTGCCCTCCTTACTTTTACAAAAGCAGGTGATCTTAATACCCAGACGGTAATGTCACCAGCTATCAAATAAATTCAACCTATTTCTCATTATTTATTCCTTCCCTCATATTAGCCATTTTTACATCATCTTCGGAGGCCGTTCACACAGATCTAGTACCACTTCATATTCCTTCTAGTCCGGGGTCCTCGCACATCCCCCCTGTTATCTCTTCTAAAATTCTCCGGACTACGAATAAGACCTCTCCATTTACTACAACCTCCGAGAATGTGTTTCAATCTGGGTCTTCTCTTGGCCAGCCGGTCTCCTCAGCATTCAAGCCTTTGCCTTCATCTCTAGGCTTGCCAGGCATTTCAGACTCTGGACACGGATTTTCTCTAGGCCCTTTGGTCTTGCCTCCTCCGCCGTCTCCAGTTATTCCACAAACTTCTGTATCTGTCGACATTTATGTTGATAGACCTCTTCCACCTCCTATGGTATATAATAGCTCATGTAATCAGTTATCTTCATCGTCACCACCGCCTTCTCTACCGGCTCCGCCCACCACAGCTCGTTTAAAGCACTTGCCAAATGCATCTCCTGGAGAGACAATGGGCCGTTTTCTTATCAGCCTCACATGTGTTGGCTCAGCCGGGCTTCATTCAGCGTCTGGACATGAATCAGTTAGCTCCGACGAGTTAGTGACTTGTGAGGAATCGAGTAATTCACTGCTTGGTCGGAACAGTACGCAAGACCTCGCCATGGCTCCGCCTAGCTCTCTAAATGAGAAGCATTTGTCTACCACACTTACAGGCAAACAGGCTCCGCTGGCACTAGTCGACTTTCGCGATGAACTTCGCAGTCGTCTTCAACAGCAGCAACAGTTGAAGAACACTGGTCAGCAAGCAGGTCGGGCATCTATTATGTCTCTGGCTCGCTCGGAACCAACGAATGAGAAGATAGCTCATGGATCGGCAGGTTTCTCACTTCCACGTCTCAAGCCGACTATCAGTATCAACGTTAAGAGCACACCTTCCATCGTCACTAATGCCTGTACGATTGTTCCGGCCAGTCTCACTTCTAGTGACAAAACAACATCTAACTCGGTCTCACCAATTAATAACACTTGTAGCTCTAACAATTTTGTACCGTCACGAGCCGCATTTATTTCCTATTCTTCACTAATACCCACTTCCAAGTCTTCGGCTGCAGCCTCTTTATCCAAATCTCTAGCTATCAACACAAGCATTTTGATGCAACCCGACCAGTTGGATGCTGAATGTGACAATGCGCCTCCTGTTATTGGGTCTTCCAGCATTCCAATCATTATTGGCTCCGTTAGCAACACTATCTCAACCACCACTTTACCAATTGATGCAAGCTCCACTACAGCGAATAATATTGCAGCCCCTTTTGCATCGCCTGTAGGGGGCGAATTAAGTGAAGTCGGACCAAAGGAGGATTTGCCTCTGCAGCAGCGCTCTTTGCTACTGTCGCCATTAACTACTGCTTCAGCTGGTTCTTTACTTGACTCTCGTTTGCTGCGGCCTTCGGCTTTGCGCAAAAATCCTACAATTCTGCCTATATCCATAAATACGGGTCTTAAACTGACTGACTCTGGCTTCTGCAGAGGCACAGGTGATGGCAGCTATAACAAATCATCGTCAGATCATGGTCCTGAGTCGAGACTATGTTTTAGACCAGAGAAAACTGCAGTCTTGGAGAAGCGCATGAGTTGGACAGGACCGCCACCTCACAACTCTGGGCGCCAGCCACCAGAAAATGCTCTCCGTACACATTTGCCACCTATCCTTTCCACTTCAATCTCTGAATTAGCTTCAACCAATTTTCCTATCTCTACTCCTAACACTGTTTCTATTACAGCTGGTGATATTCCCACACATCATCATCTTGTTTGCAAGTTAACCTGCTTGTTGACAAATCTCACTGAGCTAACTCGCTCTACAACCCCTGCTCCAAACAGCGACCTTGTTAACATAGCCGACTTGATTGAAGCTTCCAGGCTTGCAGTGCTTTCATACCTTAATGATTTGGCACTGGAGACTACTGAAGCAGCCTCAAAGCCCATAATGAATGATGGTAGATCGGGTGAGGATAGTCTAGACTTAACTTCCTCCAATGTTGTCTGTTCGGCACACGCAAAATTCCAACTACGTGACAGAGCCTCTCGGTTACTTGTCGTTGGCACCGAGTTGAAGCGGATCTCGCGGGCTGGTCAGACTCCAGGTGCCGACTTGGCTTTAACTGCAGCAAAACGAGCCATCGAAGAGCTCATCGCCGCAGTACACAGATTCTCTCCGGTGCCAACAACCTTAGCAGCAATTTCGCCCTCTGCAGCGGTATTATCTCTGGCATCAGCCGTGACAGTCAGCGACAAAAGGTCGTAAAACTTCAGCATCAGCTACTCCAATTAATTGAACGAAAGTAAAGGCCGTCTCTACCAGTCATTAATTTCGTTTTTGCTTGTTTGTGAATGCCAATTTATTTACTTAATCACTGTCGACCCACCTATTGCTGTCTTTCCAATGTCTCGATCTCTCTTCTAATCAGTCTACCCACTGATTATCATGAGTTATGCTGCCATCGCATTCACCTTTCCTCTCAGGTTAATTAATCGGTATTCTGTAAATAAAGCCATTTCTGAGGTCCATTTTTTCATCTTTGCTATCTGGCCGATTTTGTATAATATGCATTTTTGATTACTCCCTCATTATTATCTTTATATTTAAATGGCCACATCTGCCTTTTTGTTGAGCATCTGGTCGCATCAGCTAATAAAATTGTCACTTTTAACTATTCAAAAAATCTTTGTATCTTACATTACCCTTGCTTCCATACTTTCATTGAGTTATTAATTCCATTTCCAATGACTCCCACAATCTTTATTTATCTGCTTAACTGATTCGTTTTAATTTTTCTTACTCCTCTTCTTGACTATGATGCATATTCTTCATCTTCACTCGCCTTTCAATTTTCTTTATTTTATTTTGCTTTTTCTTTTCCACTTCGCATTATCTAAGTTTTACCTTGTGCTGTGTCTTTTATTCCATACTTCTTAAACATTCGCGAATCCACTCCTATTCTCTTATTGCATTGCTAAGCTGCTTACTCTTAACTATTAGCTTCTATTGGCATGATATACTCCGGAATAAAATCTTAATTTGCAAAGCTATTGCATACAGAAACTTGGTTGCATCCACTAACTAATTGTGTAAAATAATGCATCTTTTTTTGCATTTAAGCAAGCAATTTATCAACGAATTCTTTCTTGCTAGTGTATGTATTGGCCTGACTTGTTTATTCTTATCGATCTTTA